ATTTTGCCAAGTTCATAGAGATAATTCTTAGGTCTTTGCCTTGAAGGAAATCACCTAAAGACTGAGTCAAGAAGGACAAACATTACTGTATCCTAAGAATTTATTTAATACCAATGGACTCTGTGTGCTCTAGGGATATAAAAATAATCTGAACCAAGGACCTGTGCTGCTATTAAAGATTAATGAGAAAGTCACTCACACAGTCCAAGAAACGACAGAGAGGAACTAGCATTCAATTCCAGGCAGTTCGGCTCCCAAGTCTGTGCTCATGATCCATGCCTCGTGAAAGCCGTCAAGTGAAGATTGATTGCAAAGGAATCCAGCAAGCATCCCTAATATTTTTTTTCCTGTTTAAAAACTTTGGAAGCCAAACTGAGGTGCTGTTCCAAAATCTGGACCACTGTGGCTAAAGTTGCACAGAAGAGGGATAATGAGTGCTGTCAGGAATGGCCTGCTCTAAGATCTATTTCACTTTGATCATTTCTATGATCACAGAATGCACACCTTGCCCTAACCAACCACTTGGCAAAATATAGCCCTACTGACTGGGGAAACTTGGCAAGCCAGAGTTTCTAGGGTGAAAAGGCAACCTATTACCTCTCCTAGAAAAAAAAATCTCTCAAAGCACTTGGCCCACTGATGTCAGTATCACCTTTACATGCCAGAAACAAATTACTAAAGTAGAACAAGGCCTTGAACACCCAACTGAAGGAAGACTAATGGTGCTGCACTGTACATTCCTCAGAGGCAAAGGCCGTGTCTTCTCTCCTTTGGGTGGGAGGGAGTGCAAGTGTTCTGCTCACAGCGGACATGCCACTGATAAGACTGTCTGGTTAAGGATACAACTCTACAAGGAAAGCCCTGGCCTTTTCCAGGGTGTGGGGGAAGGTGGGAGCAGGAGGTCAGCAAAAGTCGTTGCATAGTAGCCACGCCGCTATCAAAATTCCCTCTAAGATGGGAGGCAGCTATAAAGGGGATAAGCAAGATCGCGTGTGTCTATGTTATCTGTCCAGGGCTCAAGGACTGCGCTGCCTGCCCTTCACTCTCGACGCCGCCACACCCCAAGGAGTCTGAACTTCCGATGCCAGGCATAATAGGGAAGGAGCCCATACTTCAACCCGCGGACCCCAGCTACGGCTGCGGGTTTCTAAGAACCACCCCCGCGGACGAGTTTCTGAGCAGGGAAATGGACCGGGAACCGCGCATTTCCTGCTTCGCCCGTGCAAATCCCAGGCGGGGCCAAGCGGGAACAGAGTTACGGTCGAGGAGTCGCCGCCGGCAGGGTGGGGCTCCGGCGGCCTCCTAAGGGGGTGCACGGAGTGGAGTGCAGAGAGTGGGAGAAAGCGCGAACGACGAAATCACTCTTCCCATTCTCAAGCATCATGAGAACCCCCAAAGCTCGCGCTAACGCTGCCCTTTTCCGGTCCCCTCGGGAGAGGCCGGCGCACCCTAGAGCAGGGTCGAGAGCCGGGTGCCGAGACTTGCCCCGGGGCGTCCCTGGCCCGGGGGCTGTGCAGCTCGCGCCCCAACAGCTGAGAGGACGACCGCTACCTTCGGGTCACTCCTTCTTCCCTACCTTTCCCACCCCGCCCGCGACTTTCGACCTCGCGTCCCAGACCCACGGGGTACTGGCCCGGGGACAGGGAGGAGACTCAGAAGGTATCACGAGGCGCGGCGCAGCCGCCCAGTCCGCGACCGGACGCGCGGGGCGAGCTGGCTGCGTCGGGCTGCGGTGCCCTACCTGCAGGACGCGGAGCCCCGCCGCCCCGGGGCCGCCCGCCGCCGGCCGCTGAGTAACCGAGGCCGCCGCGAGCTCGCGATTTATATATAAATGCAAAGGCCTCACTGTTGTTCTTTGTTCCAGGGATACCATTGTCTATTCGTCGGCGGGCCGCCCCGGAGCTTTCCTTGGGTTTGCGGCGCTCACTCTCCTCCCCGCCCCCAAGGACTTGCTCTCCCGAGCCAACCTGGATCTGTCGGGGTGCCCACCGCTTGCCCTATCGACTTGAGTCTCCTTCCGCTGGTTCCAGCTTCCCGAGCACCGAATATACAAAGCCTGCGGGAAAGCACCCAGCCTTTCTTGGTCGCTCAGGGTCCCAGGAGAAGCTCGGCTCTGAGTGCTCCAGGGCCACGGTGTGTCACCTACCCGGGTTAACTTCTGCGCCCGCTGACCAAAGGCCCCAAATGGTTAACGGGCACAACTTCTTGCTATGCTAGTCGCTTCCTCACACCGCGTTTTGAGCCTCGGTTCTGGTCCCGGGACGTGAGTGTAATTAGAAGCCAGGAACCCAGAGATCCTGGACTGTGTGTATTGTAGAAGCGGGAGTACAGGGCTCTTACTCACGAAACTTGTTTGTCTCCCCCTCCTCCCCACGTAAATCTCTTGTGTTGAGAAAAGCAAGGCTTGCAGGAAGCCACTCCGGATGTTTGCTGCTTTTCATGTGGCATTTGTGGCTGGCTCTGATAACGTCCCGAGCTCAGCTTCCAAGACCGCGTTTAGTAGAGACCAAAATAGAAGAGTGTACACACACACACACACACACACACACACACACACACCCGACAGGTCTGTGGCGCCACGGACCCCAACACCTTTCCCCCAAAATACATGACTAGCGAATGATCAGAAGGAATTAGATCTAAGTAACGGTATGTAATAGTGCCTAGTCTTGGAAAGGTACTGTAATTCCTTCCCGGTAAACAGAAATAAGCTGTTATTTTGTAACTCAGGGTATAGCAAGCAGGGGGAAGAGCGCTAAAGCAGAAACTTCGACTCCATTCTCTGGATGCTGTTTTCTCACCTGATTTCTCAGTAATCTTCCCGTCGTCGATCAGTAGTAAGTTTCCCGAAACAAGTGACAATTAATAGTGGGGAACCCTGAAGCTTCTTCCCCATCAGTTTCTTGACTTGGGTGGGCGAGGAAGAGCATGATGGAAGTGTACAAGGGTAAATCCATGCGTATACATTTTGGGGGCTCACACCTGGATCGAATTTCTCATAACCCTGTTTAATTTTTTTTCCTGAATTAGTCAAATAGATTAGATTGATAAAATGAATTCTGCAACCGAGGAAAACTATTAGTGCATAAAACTTTCAGGCCCATATAAAGTTCTGTCTTGATATCTTTGAAAAGATGTTTGTTACAGCTCAGGAAAGTTAGAGAAGATGGTCAAGAAAACCACAAGGCTCTCGTCTGAATCCCGCTGTGGGATTGATTTGTTTGCTTTATTCCTGGGGTTTCCTTATTGATATAATTATTGCAATGCAATTATGCTTTATTTTCAAGCCCAGTTTTCCCCTAGAAAAAATAAAGTTTTAAAGAAATTTAAGGTCAACTGCTTCAAAACCACCAATTGAAAACACCACTTTTCTGTAATTTTCTTAAGCAGGTTAGTTTTTTTCTTGTTTGAACCTTGGAGATGCAGGAACTAGAACTTTCTTAGTTTATTCCTTCTATGAAGACTGGTTTCTGAAGGGTAGCACCAGCGAGACCTCACAGATCCTGGCAAAGTTAAATTTAACTTAAAGCAAGTATGTAGGAGTTCACTGGAGAAAGAGCAATAGCAAAGAAAAAGAAGGCCAAGGATTTTCCAAGAGTCTGTTTTTTTGTTTTTATGCATGCCACTAATAAGCAGACTTGGTAGACTACTTCGTCATTGTAACATCACACAAAAGGCTGCAGCATTTACCTCCTAGATGTCAACCCTGGTTTTTCATCACCCCTTCACAGTGAACAAAGAATATGTGTTCTGGAGATTGATGTACTGATTTCTTTGCAAAGTTGTCTAATGGTTGCCTTAGAAAACACCACATATATACAAACACAACAGCCTGGCTTAGTGATTAAGAGTTCTTAGTATGTAAATCTGAAGGTACATTTTGGAGATGAATTCTACCCCCCAATGCTGTGATCTAGGGCAATTTCCTAAACCTCTCTCTTTCCTCTCCTGCAAAACAAAATACTGTGGATTTCATAGGATTGTTTAAGAATAAACTAGTTTGCTAATGATTGGAGGGTTTGTAGAACAGTGCTTGGCATGTGGTGCCATAGAAATGCAACATAAGGACTTGTTTAGAACTTCCACTGAACAATTTATGAGATTTAAACAATTTAATAGTTATCTATAATTTTTATTGCAGTCTAAAACGTATAGGAATCCCTGAATTATTTGCTAGAATAATCGCCTTAAAACTACCCTAAGAGCTAGTTATGCTGCTGCTAAAAAGAATTAATTGCTCTTTCCTCTAAATGGACTTGGGCGTTTGGATAAATTTTGGTGATGTATTTACATTTTAGGGGGGAAAAGTAGTCTTGCCTCTTTCGCTGGACACACACGTTTTTGTTATGCTGAATATGCATTTCATGTTCCAATTTTCAAGGGCTGTTTCATTGTTATGAATAAAAGCTTTGAATTCTTCAGGGTGACAGGATATTGGCTACAGAAAGTCATTCCGTAATTTAATCTTGTTTTAGAAATGAGAATTTACGTCCGACATAGCAATTTGAATATAATACAACAAGCGGCGACGACCTTACCTAGAGAATGTATTTTTGTTTATAATCAATAGTGTTTCCTATATAAGTAACATTTGAACAAGGCACCTGTGGGGTTCCTTGGAAGAAAGCGAGATCACTCACCACTGAAATACCCTTAGCTGGTGTAAAGAGTGGATACTTTTTGATGTGAGCTACCTTGCTCAAGTTCTCTGCAGCGTTATAATCAACACCCCAGAAGGTTTTTCTGTAGCCCCCTTCCGGGGTCGATGAGGACGTGGCGCCAAGGCCCGGCTTCAGCCAGTTTTCCCCGGGGCAGGTGTAGCCCTGGGCGCGGGGTCGGGGGAGGAGAAAGGGCGGGCTGGGAGCTGCTCCGGGACTTGGAACTCTGGCTGCCGGCTGGGCGTGGACCTAACGACGCCGGCCTGGCCCGCCCTCGCAGCTCCATTGGCCACACTGTGTAGAAAAGGCCGGGCGGCCTGGGGGGGCCCCCGCAGTGCCACTGGGTCGTCCGGGACACTGTTGCGCGGCTGGTTGGGACTGGCTAGAGCGCGGCTGTCGGGTTCGGACCCGAGAGTCTCGATCTACACGCCGGACTTCTGCCTCCGTCGCTCCCCACCCCCCTCCCCCCACGTCGGGGGAGGCGGCGTGTCCGGCGGAGGGTTGTGGGGCTCGGGGCAGGGCTGGAGCGCCATGAGCAGCCCGGATGCGGGATACGCCAGTGACGACCAGAGCCAGCCCCGGAGCGCTCTGCCCGCGGTGATGGCCGGGCTGGGCCCTTGTCCCTGGGCCGAGTCGCTGAGCCCCCTCCAGGACATGAAGGTGAAGGGTGAGGCGGCAGCGAGTAGCGGGGCGCCGGCCGGGGCCGCGGGTCGAACCAAAGGCGAATCTCGCATCCGGCGGCCGATGAACGCCTTCATGGTGTGGGCTAAGGATGAGCGCAAGCGCCTGGCGCAGCAGAACCCGGACCTGCACAACGCCGAGCTGAGCAAGATGCTAGGTGAGTCCCCCCATGCGAATTGCAGAGCCCCTTCTTGCACCTCTGAGAGCGCGGGCTTTGCTCCGGAGGACAGAGATGCGCTGCCAGCGTGCGGGTCCTTCCGTGGTACCCTGGTCCTCCTGCCGCTCTGGGCTATCCCGACCCTCCGGACAGGTTTTTGGCTTAGGTCCTCAGGACCCGGAGTACTTGATGACCGGGGCGCGGGTACCACGGCCAGGGGGCGGCCAGGGTACTCCTGGAGCCGAGTTCGTTTGGTGGTGCCGGTGCCCCGACTCTGCCTGGGATAAGGGGGCGTCTTAAGTTACTCGAAAGTTACGCTGGGAGTGGGTGAGCTCGGGAGCCGCTCCCAGGAAGCTAACGGAAAGGACTGATGCTGTTAGAGAGAACCCTAGCTTTCTCGTCTCTCCAAGTGTTGGGACTCTCTGCGTACGGAGTCCCAAACTTTCACTCTTGAACTGGACTTCTCCCTCTAGTTGTGGCACAATCCAAGTTGGGCGGGGTGGGGCGAGAGTGGGGCCAGTGGGGCCTGGGAGCGGGAGCTCATAGAGTAAGGCCGGTGTCCCTCTCCATCTCCCCACGCCCGTGCAGGCAAGTCGTGGAAAGCGCTGACCCTGGCGGAGAAGCGGCCCTTCGTGGAGGAGGCCGAGCGGTTGCGCGTGCAGCACATGCAGGACCACCCCAACTACAAGTACCGGCCCCGGCGGCGAAAGCAGGTGAAACGGCTCAAGCGGGTGGAGGGCGGCTTCCTGCACGGCCTCGCGGAACCGCAAGCGGCCGCGCTAGGTCCCGAGGGCGGCCGCGTGGCCATGGACGGCCTGGGCCTGCCCTTCCCAGAACAGGGCTTCCCGGCGGGACCGCCGCTGATGCCCCCGCACATGGGCGGCCACTACCGCGACTGCCAGGGACTGGGCGCGCCCCCAATCGACAGCTACCCTCTGCCCACTCCGGACACATCCCCACTGGACGGCATGGAGCCAGATCCCGCTTTCTTTGCCGCGCCGCTGCCGGGGGACTGCTCGGCGGCTGGCCACTACAGCTACGCTCAGGCTTCGGACTACGCGGGGCCCCCAGAGCCGCCCGCCGGCCCCCTGCACTCGCGGCTGGGCCCGGAGTCGGCCGGTCCTGCGATGGCGGGCCTTCTGGCGCCCCCCAGCGCCCTGCACATGTACTACGGCGCTATGGGCTCGCCCGGGGCGGGCGGCGGGCGCGGCTTCCAGATGCAGCCACAGCACCATCCTCCCGGCCCCGGACAGCCGTCGCCGCCTCCCGAGGCTCTGCCCTGCCGGGACGGCGCGGAAACGAACCAGCCAGCCGAGCTACTCGGGGAGGTGGACCGCACAGAATTTGAACAGTATCTGCACTTTGTGTGCAAGCCCGAGATGGGGCTCCCCTACCAGGGACATGACTCTAGTGTGAATCTCCCAGACAGCCACGGGGCCCTTTCCTCAGTGGTGTCGGATGCCAGCTCTGCGGTATATTACTGCAACTACCCTGACGTTTGACAGGTCCCCGTCGCATCCAGCCTGCAGGCCAGAAGCACAGTGTTACCCACTTCCTGGAGGAGCTAAGGAAATCCTCAGCCGCATGTTGTTATGTTTTATAACAAACATTATTGCTTCGGCATATAATTTATGGTAATTTATTTTGTCTGCCACTTGAACATTTGAGGAAAATGGGCTTGTGTTTGTTAAGATTTGTGCAGATACTTGTTTACCACAGTTGCATTGTCAAAAGCCCATTTCTGCGTTTAAGTTTACTGGTTTAGACTGTGTCCCAGAACAACTTGTTCCATTTTCTGAAAATTTATTGATCAAAGAAATTTTGTCCAGGGTGTATTTTTTTCCATCTTAAAAAAAAAATAAAATCTGGAATCCTAGTCCTATTTTGTCATTCTGCCTAGTGCCTTTGCCACAAAAGCCGTTTTTTGGGAGTAATGTTAAATATTAATAGGTTAGAAATAGTTCAATAGCTGACATTTAATATACCGTCACTCTGCATTTTCATTCTCTTCTAATAGACACTATGATTTCAAGGAGAAGCCCTAAGAATTCACATTAAGAAATCCAAGATTGAGAAAATTGTTTAATGAAAAAGCCTCATGGAATGAAACGTACATTTCAAGTGATTTAAGTAATGGTTAATCGTAAACTCTAAATGATGTCAATTTTAACATTGGGCTAATGAGTTTTGGTTGTGGTATTAATAGTGGGTTTTGGTTGTGTTAGCTTGGCACATCGCTAAAGAGACCTTTGGATTAAAAAAAAAAACAAACCTGTATTTCACCAAGAGTCTACACACCCCAATACTGAGCTTGCCTTTAATACTCACAGTTTACAGGTTGGGAAGTAGTGATGTTGGACTAAAAAATAAATTGAAGGAAACAGGAAACATGCATTGTAAGCTACTTTTAATGGGACTGTAGCATCTGATTGCAATAGGATTTTTTGCTATTATAGGTTAATGGCCTACATGGCAAATTGCATTTTCTGACACCAGTAGTTTTGTTACTAAGCTTTTGAGGTGAATGGGCTGGGAGTGGGGGGAATGCAGGAATGGTTTGTATTATATAGAGTGCTTTACAAATGCAATTAAAGTGACTGCCCTTGGGGTATCACTATTCTGTCCCTAAGGGAAAAAAGCTGAGTGACAGGGTTCTTGCATAGGGGCCATTTGCTGTTGTGTGCTTTAGCACCAATTGCTGTGGCATTTTTTTCATCACATTTTGCAGACTGAGACAATGGATACATGACTTGTATTGGGCACTTTCTGCACCGGTTTTTCTTCAATGCCACTTTTTTTGTTGTTATTAAAGATTTATTTTTATTTATGCATACAAGAACAGGAACAGGTGGGTCTGACAAGAGCAGCTGGTGAGACAGAAGTCTGCAGAGCCCTGTGAGGGATGGGGTGGGAATGGAACGCATGCCTAGTGGCTGGCCATAGCTTGACAACACTGAGACTTTAACCATTGCACAACCAGGGAGGCCCCAATGCCAGTTTTTATAGTTGGAGCCTGATCAAGCCTTAGTTTTGGTGCCTATTCTCATTTTGCTAGTAAGAAGGCCTGGGGCCCTCACTGGTCTTGTGTGTGGTGGAAGTTTGTCATTACAAATTCTTACAGTGTTCATTTTTTTCCCTTTGTGCCAGGGTGTACACTTGGGTAAGGGAGAACTTGCATTCTAGACGCAACAAACTAATTCTCTAGATGAATAAGCTGCTATAAAGAAAGGGAAGGGGGGCCTTCCTGGTGGTGCAAGGGGTTAAGCACACACTATGAAGCTATCAGCAGCCATTGCAGCACCAGTTCTTGGCCCACCAGGGAGCTACCCACATGGTGCAGCAGACCTCTCCTGTCTCTTCTGCTCTTGCCCTCAACAGTGTACTTCAGTCAATCTGCTTGTTCCCCACTCTGTCTCTGGTGAATTCTCTCAAACCCCCGCACCTCTGGCCTGTACCCCAGTTCTTGTATGCATAAATAAATAAATCTTTAAAAAAACAAAAAAACAGAAGGGGACATAAGACTACTTTAAAGCATTCATCTTGAAGAGGGGGTAATCTGAGTTGAAATGTTTAGATTCTCTTGTGAAATGGCAGAGCCTATGATTTTAGAAGGTGCTAGGAATGTTCAGGACAGAAAATTTCACTGAGGAAATGTATTTTTTCAGGCATAACAGAGGCTATCTTAATGATTTGCAATTATATAAGTTCATCCCAGGATTATATTTACCATTTAATCCAATTTATTTGATTCGAATAGTCCATGTTTTTTTTCCACATTCTTCTCACCCAGACAGGTTTTTCTTCCAGCCTGAGTTCTTCCCCAACATGTTCCTAAGAGTTCCCAGTAGATGAAATGAGCAGAGGCCTCACTTTCTCAAGTTGGGATCACAGTAGGTACTTTAGTGCATGCTTGGTTGGCCCACATTTGCCTGCTATCAAGCCACAAAATTAAGATAATTAAGGAAGAGAAAAGAAAAAAGAGGAGGGCTCAGGGAAAGAATCAAAAGTTCTGTTAAGTTATATTCTTAACTACTCACCAGATACAGGTGGGAAAATAAGGACTAAAATTGCTTGATTGCAATGCAAGTAACCACAGTGGAGGGTATTTAGTTCTCTCAATAATTCTAGGAGAGAGGACCATCTAGCCCACTCCTTCTCTTTCCTCAAATGGACTCAGATGAAATAACCCCAGGCACCAGCTAGTGGGTACTTTTTGTTTGACTTTGGAAACATATTATCACTCTCTTCTACTGCCTCTCAATTTCTGAGACACTTCACACATACATCAGAAAGTAAAAATCTAGGAAGCTCTAAATTCTAAGCACTCTTATTAGTTCTGTTGCTTATTTTATTTATTTTTTTTAAAGATTTATTTATGTTTATACAAGAACTGGGGTACAGGCCAGATGTGGGGGAGGGTGAGAGGATTCACTGGAGACCGAGCAGGGAACAGAACAGGCAGACTGAAGAAATACACTGCCGAGGGGAGCAGCAGGCAAGACAGGAGAGGCCTGCTTCACCTGTGGGATTCGCGCTGGCCAGCCGGGTTTCGAACCCACTCTGCAGAGGCTGAGGACAGCCTCACAGTGAGGCGCTCAACCGCCTGTGCCACCAGGGAGGCCCATGTTGCTTATTTTAATTCACTTTAGACAACCGTCTGAGGAAAACTGGGAGTTCCTTTCCTAGGAGTTTACACATAAACACATACACAGTGTTTCAGGAAAAATTTTAGGCAATTAAAACCCTTTAGCACTCTCTAGGGGGTGTAAGAATCAGGTTCTGAGTGTGAGGCCCTGATGGTGAAGGTTTGTTGGGGAACATGGCAAATAAATACAAACAACAACAAAAACAAACCCAGGTTCTCTATACTTGAAAATAAAAAGGTATATCTCAAGAACTCTCATGGTACTAAGTCTTCTCTTCTTGAGACGTAAGTCAAGAAACATGAGTGTAGTGTGCCCCCTCTCAAAGTATGAAGGAAACCCAAGAAGCCTTGCCAAGATGAATACCTGATCTTTTTCCTTTATGCAGATATGGTGGTGGTAGCAAGTGTCCAAGGTTGGCCTCATGAGCCATACTCCAGTATTTACACCATTACATAAATTCTTCTCCCATTTCTTCTAGATTCAACTTCCCACTCCAACCCATCAAAATGAACAGATTCACCTGTTGTCAGCTACTGGGCCAATCTGCAAAAAGACTTGCAGGTTTTGTTTCTTGTACTTCTGAAAACCCTGAGTTACTGTGTATGAAGTGCAGTTACCACAGTGGTGATATGACATGAAGAAGAGGGACTAATCTTCCCTCCAGCTGCCTTTGGCTGCCCACACACCACCATCTCATTTGGCCTCTGGTGAGGCCAAAGCAATCCATGGGTGAGAAAGATTTAAAGAAAAAGGCATGAGGTGGGTTGTTATCATTCAATTCAAGTTTTGGAGAACTTTTGTTATGTAGCAACTGGCTAACTTAAATAACTATTTTTATTTTTGAGTATAGGAATGTGAGTATAGGTTTGGAAAAAATCAGGAAAAGAGCTTTGGGGTATGCCAGAGAAATCAAGATAGTTTTAAATGGCAGAATATAAGACTTCCACTCAAATTGGATGGCTGTGATATCACCAAATTCAGAGACCTTGAACTTTCCTCAATGAACTCACATGAAGTGACCACCATTTCCAGCTAATGATTGGTTTTCTAAAAATATTACATTTGTCTCAGTTTTTCATGATTTCATTTTGGAAAGAAATGCATAAAGGGTGCTCCTTCCCCATCTCTACTTCTGAGGTACTTTCGAATCCTGCCAAGAGAGAGGACTACAGCCCTTTTGTGAACTGAGATATCTTGACTTTATGCCAGCATAGAGTCTACACACTTTTGTTGAGGGACCCAAAACAAGAAGTAAGGGGGCATTTCCTTTCCCAAGAGACATACTGACAACATGTCCATTAAAGCTACCATGGTGTGTCTGCTAAATTACAAATATATTGTAAATTGCTTATATAAGCAGCTAAGAAATGAACTCACAAGCTACTATTTATTTGCATCTCAGAAGATTATTGTATTTTTTTTTAAAGATTTATTTATTGTGAGAGAATTCACCAGAGCCAGAGCGGGGAACAGAACAGGCAGACTGACGAAATACACTGCTGAGGGGAGCAGCCAGAGGTCTGCGCACCACGTGGGACCCTCGCTGGCAGCCGGGGATGGAGAACCGGCGCTGCAGAGGCTGCTGGCAGCCTCGCAGCCCAGCGCTCAACCGCTGCGCCACCACGGGAGGCCCGATTATTGTAATTTTAATTGAATTACACTGCAAACAACATCAGCTTGTTCTTTAACTTTATGCTGATATCAGGAAAAGTACATACAAGCAAAAAGAATTCAGAGGAAATGGAATGGGGCGCTATTAATCAAAACATATCTCTAACATTTTAAATGCATTTTATTTTGCTTTTAATATTTAAAACTATTGAATAATAGATGTTCAACATTTTCTTTCTTCCCTGATTCCCCTTTAATTTCTTTTGACAGTACTGGACAGGGAGAGATTTTATATCCATTATTTCAACATGGATTTATTCTTCCTGCTTGCAAGATGCTTCCTTCTGAGTCCAGAACATTCTTCTGATGCCATTCATGGGTACTGGCATTCCAGTCCCCATGTAGAGCAGGATGAAGACTGACTCCTGTTCCTCCACATAAACCCGTGGTTCACAGAAAATTTCTTCAGGTCCTCTGGCTAGGTCCAGCTACACCTCTTTGAATTTTTCATTGCAACATCTGACCCTACCTTCCTTCTTTAAGTTATTAAAGTTGCTGTGTGCTTTTTTTCGAATTACACAGCAGCTTTATATGACTCAACAATTCAGATTCCACCATTCCCCTTACACAAACATTGCTCCCTCACCACTTGCATTTCTCCAGCTTCATTCAAGACACTAAATCCAGTGTAAAATAGTTTTTAAAAAGTAAAGTATTATTTCTTTGCTCAATATAAAATTTCTTAGCAATACCATACAGAAAGCACTATATAATCTTGTGTTATGAAAACGATATTCTTTAAAGTAAATTTTCTCCACATTTCAGTTCCAAATAACAATTTGGCTGAACAAAAGAAAAATAATTTTAATCTTGCTGAAAACATTTTAGCATTGAGGATCTTATTTCCACTTTAAGCAAAGTTTTTTTTTTTTAAGTTTTTATTGAGGGAAACTGCATTATAGTATTATATAAGTTTCAGGTGTACCGCATAAACAGCTATATACACTACATTAAGTTCACCATTCAAGTCCAATTCTATGCTTCATCATTCAATTCACCCTTTTTACCTGATTTACCTACTATCCTTCCCCCTTCCTCTCTGCTAACCACTAATTTGGTCTTGTAGTTTGCAAGTGTATTTCCACTTCGCTTCATTTAAGAATGTAATCATACTGCGTCTGCCAAAGTCTTTTTTTTTTAAAAGATTTTTAAATTTTTATTTATTTACGCATATAAGAACAGGGGTGTAGGGCCAGAGATGTGGTGTGTGTGTGAAAGGATTGATCAGAGATAAAGTGGGGAAGCAAAGCAGGCAGATCTACTGAAATACACTGCTGAGGGGAGCAGCAGGTAAGGCAGGAGAGGTCTGCTGTGCCATGTGTGTCAGCTCCCAGGCCGGAGAGGGAACTTAACACTGCAGTGGCTGGCAATAGCTTAACAGTGCTGAGATTTTAACCCCATGCCTCCAGGGAGGCCCTGTCTGCCAAAGTCTTGAACACTTTGCTGAAGTTAAATTCATAACAAGTATTCCTCAAACTTACATTGTTCAAAAAGATGATCTGTGAAGTCACACTCTATATGGAGATTTGGATAAGCATAAATAAACTGCAGAAAACATGCTGTGGATCACAGCCAATGCCCTCCATGCTGGGAATCAGTGCCCTACCTAATACCTGATATCTTGTTAGGCAAGGAAAAGAAGGTGGGTGGCAAGTTGCAGTAAACTAAGCAGCTGTCTGGTCTGTCTGATTCTTCCTGGTAAGTGCTGAGAAAATGGACTGAGTAACTTGGAGCCTCAGTTTTCAAATGAAGATTCCCAGAGGAATTGGATCTCCTGCTAAGGCTCTCTCTTTTCTGTTTGAGACAGTCACTAGTCAGTTGAGCAATGTGTCAGAATATCAAACCTCATGACAAAAGAAAATTAGTTATTGTAGCAAAGAATAGAGAATGAACAATACCACCGATGGCAGTGTTCCAAAATAAGGAAAACAATGCATTTTGCACCAGAGTTCCACCAGCCCAGCAATTTACCTGTGTAAATATGGAGAAGTTATTCTATTTTCCCTTTTAAATTTAATTTTCAAAATTAAGTATATCTGACATATTTTGTAATTTAAGGTGTACACTGTCTTACTTTGACACATTTATATATTGTGATATGATTGCCAAGGTGCTGTTATTCAGCACTGATAATTACCAGGTTATATAATCTGTCTTTTTAGTGGTAGAAATAATTAATTTTTGATTTTGGCAAATTCAGTGATTGTAGTACAAAATTGCTGACTATTCACTAAAATCTTGGTCTATTCCTGCAGACTTGAGGAATTTAATTTCATTGAGAAGGAGAAAACAAGAACTTGCTTTCCCTGAACATTTTGATCAGTGGATTGAGAATTTTACAAACTTGTAAGATTGTCCATACTTTCTGGAAACAGATTACTCTGAGCTTTGGACAACTCAGCCTCTTTGATTATAAAATGAAGATAGAAATAATTTTCATTTGAAGAAGTGCTTTTTTTATGGAATGTTTTAATTCATTTACCCTCCCAATGTGAATGAAAATCCAAGGTCTTTATAAAGGGATAGTTTATATACACACATTGAACAAGCACAATGTCAAATTTGCTAACATTCATCTTTCAGTCTGTCTTTATGCCAGTCAATGTTTCTCAAGTCTGAAACACATATCCATGTCATTTACTTTTTTTTTTTAAGGACTGAACAGAGTTGGAATTCTTGAGGATGAAAAAGCAGAGTGGAATGCGGGAGACAGAAAATTAAGAAATAAACTCTGTCTTCCAGAAATTCCAAGTAATGCTGAAGCTCGATACTCAGGTTTTTGAATCACTTCTTCCTTAAAAGTTATACTGTCAGGGCAATGTTGAAGGTAGAGAAGAAAATTCTGAGGCATGCCTAAAATATGGGAACAGTATATAGTTCCCTATATAATGAATTCCTATGCATATTTTAATAAATCCTTTTGGATGTTGAAAACAAAAGCCAAGTTTACAGTTACACAGAAATAGAAAATAAAAATTCAACCTTGTAATTTTATTGAGTAGATTGTGGGAAAATATATTTTATTTATTAATTTAAAAATAATTAAAAAATTAAATGAGGCACATGTTTACATGAAGAGCAAATTTTCAGATAATCTTGCAATATAAACTAAGAGTTGTGGGAAGATTCTGTCTTTGTTTTGGTGGGCACTGTCAACATTTATAACTGTTCCTCTGCATATTAATTAATATGCTTGCGCACAGTTATATGTTTATCAGTTTTAGACGTTAACTTCCTGCTATAATAGTTAAGCATTTCCTGTGCTCCTTCATTAACCGAATATAACTAAATCCTATTTCCATTTCTTTTATTGTCACTGCCTTTAAAAGTACTAGATTGCACACCTTTTTCATGTGCATCACAAAGGCGTGAAGTCTTTAGCAAAGGAAGAGGATATTGATACTCCTTCATTTCCAGAGGCACACATCTGCCGCGAAGGTGGAGTTTTTTACGAATTTATTTGGGGTCGGGGGACAGCTGGTGGGTAGAAGATGGAATAATGATGCGCGTTATAGAAAAGTATCCATTTTCATAACATTTCGATCAATCCCAGGCAATCAGGACTGTGTCCTGCCACGCTGTGACTTCTAATTCACTCACTGCTTACAGTCATGAAGAAAGAGAAGTAGTCTTCCTAAAACTATAGGGAAAAAAAAAAAAAAAGTAAAAGGGCACACCCTAAACTCAGTGATCGGTTACCTCTGCTCACACCCCTCTACCCCAAGGTGTCCTTAAGGATCCCGGGGGGGGGGGGGGGGTCGGAGCTATTCCTTCCCGCTGGACGTCGGGGAGCAGAAGAGGCACTGAAAGCCCAAGACGCAAGTTCTTTTCACCAGAATCTGCACATCCAATGCACTTAATTCATGGGTACTTTTTATTAGACTCTGCAATCACTTTAACTTAGAAGCTAAGGATCATAGGTTTGATGTAAGGCAAAAAAAAAAAAAAAAAAAAAATGCCGGGGTGTGTGTCAAGGAGAACATCGCCAGCGCGGCCCCAGGACGCCGGGACTGCGCTGTCGCGCGCTGGCTCCAGGGCGTTTCGAGCCCTTAGCTTTGCGACCTGGTTCCCGCCCCAGTAAGCACCGCCTGAAACGAAGAGGACTCCCAGGTTAGAACAGGGCTTCTCTTTTGTACTTGTTCGGGAGTCAAAACTTCAGAAAATTCAGACGTGACATTGTGGCCCGACGCCTCCGAGGGGAGGGCCTTGGAGCATTATTTTCTGCCGTGGAGAGAATAAAAGAGTAGCCACCCGATGCGTTTTTTGCGAAGGGCAGCGAGTGGCGCTGCTCGGCGCACATCTCTGCGGCTCGAGTGGAGCCGAGCGGCGGGAGCAGGGGTTCTCTAGGGAGCGGCGTGCGGGGCGGCCCCGCGGCCCAGGGGTCCCGCGGTGTCTCTGGACTTGGCGAGGACTTGGGCGCGCGGCGGGCTGGTGTGGCCGGGGCCGCCGGGGAAGGATTTGGGCGGGAGAGATGGAAGCAGCCAGCAGGGTTTTTCCCTCCTTCGCTCCCACCCCTCCCCCCCGCGTCCGGGGAGGCTGCGTGTCCGGCTGGGGGCTCAGGGCAGGGCCCGAGGGCCTAGAACAGCCCGGAAACGGGGTATGGCAGTGGCGCCCAGAGCCAGACTCGAACGCGTGCCCGCGTTGATGGCCGGCGGGGCTCACTGCCCATGGACCGATTCGCTGAGCTCCCTCCCGGACAAGAAGGTGAAGGGCGAGGCAGTGGGCAGCTGGGGACGCTGGCCTGGGCCTTGGGTCGAACCGAGGGTTTGTGCCGCGTCCGGCCCAAAGTTTGGCTAAGGCCGGACGCCAACCACCAGCGATGGACCCCGGGCCCGGCAGGACGCGTGCAGCTGTGCCGGACGCCAGGGGAGGCGGAGCGCAGCGGGGTGGGGGAGAGTGGAGGGAATCGTAGAGATCCGGTGGTGTAGGAGGAGACCCGGGTCTCGGGCTTCCAAGCTGGTGGCCCAGTGGTTCTATGTCTCAGAACTCGCTGGTGTTGTGAGTTTTATCTGACAAACAATTGGCAGACGTAGAATCTTCTTGGGGGTGGGAAACGAAATTCGAAAAGTTCAAGATCAAATTGATAACAATCTCCAGGTATAACTGGTAACATGAAACTTCGCGGTCTTGAGAAAGATTTTTAAGTTGTTTAATCAGGGAAAGTTCTCTAAAAAAGAAAACTCCATTGCTCTTACTCCAAACTTGAAAGAGCTAATTCCTTCTTTATCTCTCGAAAAGAAATTGAGAAACTTACTATATGTAAAACTGCTTACCCTTAATGGAACTGGAAAACATGCAACCGTACATAAAAGGGGAGGGGGCAAAGTTTTACAATTTCGAATTAGACAGCTTGCAGTCTTGAGTTTTTTTGATGCTTAAGTTTTTTTGTTCGAAAAGACTCAAGTTACGAAGTTTTGAGCTCATTCCCCTATTGAAGTTAAGAGGAAGAGGTTTTTTTTTTTTAAAGAAGAAATAAAATGACCAGACTTTATTTTTGTTTCTCTTCTAAGTAGTTTTTTGGTCTTCTAAGTAGGTCCATTAAAAAATTTCAATTACCTATTTTTCATAAGAATTTCAGCACAGGAGAGAAATCTAAGTTATTTCAGAGTTAAAGACTCCTCACAATATCCTGTTTTTTTCCTTGTACACATTTTCTCTGCATTTACAATCATAGATATGTTGTAGGATTTTTTTCCTCCCTCTCCTCTCTTCTTCCACTAATGGGATGGCATTTTTCTTGACATTCTGAAACTTGCTTTTTCAGCTAACTCTATATTTGACATTCCTGTATTCCTGGTAGAGAACCTGTGTGTACCTGGTTGGTGGTCCTCTCCACTTGCGCGTGAGATCAGACCCACTTCTCCGATCCAACTCAGTGTATATTTGGATCTTGACTTGTTCCTTTCACGTGCAGAGTCCTATGCCTCCTTCGCATTCAGGCAAAAACTAAGTTTGTGCACATGAAGGAGAGTACCTTACAAGTGCACATAAAATACAGGGGACGTAGTGTGGAATACATTTCCCTGAGGGAAAAGAAAAAAAAGGGACGGAAACTGCACGCCCTTAGGGCAATCTTTTGCTGTCTGATTCATCCTGTATCAGATCTCAGGGGTGCTGGCAGCCAAAGGATGGACAGAAAACTCTGCTGGCGATACTCATTACAGGAGATTGGCCCGAAACTTTCTGCCTTCCTGGGGCAGGTGTTGATCTGCCAGGAGGCCTCCTTGCGCTTCCCGGACATTAATATCACCAGGCGGAGATGGCGTGCCAAGTCAAGATGGTGAAATCGGCCTCCCGACTCAATCATTGTCTGATAAGTCTGTAGTGTTCCTGTTCTGGCATATGGTTAATAAAAAAACCCACCAAAGTAACGCGGTCTCTGCTTTGCGGGCTTGGGTTGGTTTAGGAGATAGCCACAACTGTGAGCTGGGAAGCGACTCGTCTCCCCGAGAGGCGGGCTGCCGTGGAGGAGCGACCTTTCTGGTAGAGGCGCTGCACTGGACCCTGCAGGACCAGCCTCCCTCCCCCCACCCCCGCCCCAAAGAAAACAAACAAAAAACTCTTCTGACCTTACAGTCGCAGGCGGCCTCCTGGCCTTGGACGGTCTGAGCCGGTCTTCCTCGGCTTGCCCCGCATATGGGCGGCCACTACCGCGATTGCTAGGGGCTGGGGAGCAACAAGGTAGGCAGTTTTCAGTTGCCCACACTCAATTCGCCCCCACGAGACTGCGAGGAGCGGATTCGGTCTTCTTCGCCTTGCCGCTGCCCGGGGAGTGTCTGGTTGCAGGCCCAGTGGAGCCCGGTTTCGACCCGGAACCCCCAGGTTCTGGAATGCTGAGGCTCCTGGCGCCCCCCAGCGCCCTGCACATGTACTATGATTGCGCGTGGGCTCGCGGGTGTGGCAGATTGTGGCAGACTGCGGCCGGCTGGCCTGGCTTTCAGAGGCCACCGGAAAAAAAACCATATGCGTGCGGGTTCGGGCAATTGTGATCCCTTCTGGTGGCAACAACGCGGACCAGAGTCATCCTGCCCCCGACCCCCCAGCTCCTGGGGACAGTTCAAGGGCAGATCCTGTTTTGAAACCCTAGACTCTTGTCTTCTGAGTCCGTTGTCAATTTACAGTATATTATTGCGACTGTCACAAATATCAACCTTTACTATTGCTCTCAGAAGATTCCAGTAAGAACAACGCTTAACATTGTTAATATCTCAAAAGAGAAATGCAAGATGTGCTCTGCTTAAACCCATGTACCGTCTTTGCCCATGTTTTAAACGCATGCTCAGCTGCTCCAGTGTGAAAATAGAGATGGGACTGCAGGATTCTTTCAAAGCTGGACCCTTAGGAACAGTGAGGAAGACAGACAGGAGGCCTAGGGAGCGTCGGTGCTATTTTGGCTTAGGATTTAATGGCGGACGTGAGATCTGGAGAGTTTTAGGGTTGGAAGAAAAGGGAGGGAGAGACAGGGAAGGTAGGAGGATGCATCAGAGGGGTTTTTGGAGATGGTGGGTCCGGTGAGGCTGGAGTGGAGGGTGTGGCCCGGGTGGAGCTGCTGAAGGGGGTAAAGCTGAAGGGCATAGGAGCTGTGCAGTTGGGGGATGTGAGATGGATCCTCCACGTGGATATTGAGATTCCCCAAAGCTGGGGGGTAGGGGGAGGAAGACTGTAACCTTCTCTGTGTATATTTTACAAGACACTCCAGTGGGACTAAATTTAAATGAATGATTTGTAAAATAAAGAAGGAGTATTTAGAAGAGAAAACAAGGGACATGTCCATTCAAATGCAAGGTAGAGCACTGGTGAAGTAGGAAAATCCCATTCAGATTGGAAGCTATTGAGGAAGACCTGGCAGAAATTCTTAGTGATGAAATAAATTTTTACACATCTTTCTGGAAATCTGGAGATATATTTTTTCTTTTTTAGTTTAGAGTCCAGATAGTCTTCTGGTAGCAGCAACACTCAAGGTTAATCAAGAAGGGACTTTCTTATCAACTTTGTAAATAATGGTAGGGTTTATAGATAAGTGTTATTAGCAATGCACTGCTTCAGAGAATTTCCTGCTTGGATTATTTGGTTTTCATCACTAGGTGCTAAATTTTAAAAATCATTACAGAAAAGGCAATTTCCCCCCTCCACTCAGTCATCTCAATATTGACACCTTGAGGCAAAGGGACATTCACCTGGCTTTAACTAGGCTTCTGCTCAGCTTGGTTGGCTGACTTCTCATACTTGGCCTTCCTCTTCCCTCCCCTAAAAACTAGAGAATTTTTTTTAAAGATTTATTTATTTATGCATACAAGAGCTGGGGTGCAGACCAGAGGGGGGGGCGCTGAGAGGATTCATCAGAGACATAATGGGGAGCAGATCTAGCAACATACACTGCTGAGGGGAGCAGGGAGGCAGGAGAGGTCTGCTGCGCCCTGTGGGCCAACTCCCTGGCTGGAGATAGAACTCCTGCTACAGTGGCTGCAGATAGCGTCATAGTGCTGAGACTTAACCCCTTGCACCACCAGGGAGGCCGGCCGAAAACTAGAGAATCTTTTATCATAATATTGAGCAATATTCATCAGGTTTCCTATTCAATAGGCACAAGGATGCTCTTTGTCAAGAAGGACACAACCTGGGTAAGCTGTGGTTTTCTCAGAATTTCCCATTAGCAAGGAGAGCTTTGTATGGACATGGAAATGTGGGTGTTGGAGGTCTCCCAGAATCCTCCTTCTCCAGAGAAGTATAATGTAACTCTAGAGACCTGCAAGACGCACAGTCTGTGGCCAGAAGACTTAAACCTTCAAAGACAAAAGCCATGTTGCAAAATTGCATGAATACCTGAGCACCCTCAAACCTCTGTAGTGGGTGCTTGTGTGAGAGCAGGAGTCAGTTCTCTTGCAGAGTTTATTACTGGTGGCTGAGACATCCATGTTTGCAAAGGAAGGGAGACCTTCCTCTTCCCAAGTGGGCTCTGTATCCTGTTTCACTAATACCACTCAGGGGAATCAAAAAAGGGGAAGGTCAAGTTCTTGGCTTTCCCCCAGCTGTCCCCTGGGTTGTATCTCTTGGGTTTGTTGTTCACAGATAGGCCCTAAGACTAGGGGCACACAGACTCTTTTTCCCTAGGAGTGGGTCTCTAGATCCTTCTATATATAGTGAGGTCCCCCACACACTCTCTCATTACTCATTTAGCTTGGCCCAGGTTGAAAGCATGAACAATCTCTTCCAGGCACTCCCTGTTTTCACTTCCCTCAGACCAGAGGGCCCCTCCTCTGGTCTGACCCATGGGGGTCAACATCCTTTCTAGCTGATCCGCCCCACTTCCTCACTCAGGTCGAGCTGGAGTCTGTTTTTTTTAGTTCAAGGGTTCCTGGAGAAGTGTTTTTTCTGCTCCCCCCACCTCCATTATCACTTCAAACCTATTACATATAGGGTCTTAGGTTATTGGAGATTCAAAAGCAGAACGATCAGTTTGAATTGTAGGAAGAAACTTTGTGGGTAAAAGTGGGAGTTGAATAACACACCAATGAAAATGGGCAAAAGGGGGCCATTGAAAGTGGGGAAAGACACAGGAGCATTTTATATTCAAGGTGCAGTTGGAGAGACTAGCCCTAGTTAGTTCGGAGAGGGCCTCTGAGGGCCCTCTTTGTACAATGTGCTGCACTGGGTGTGAGCTGAACACCCAGGATAGACCTGGATTAAAATTCCAGAGAGACCAC